GTTAGCGGTTTGCTAAAAACTGAGTCATATTGGGACTTGAGTAGCTCACTCATTTCCTTGTTGTCATCTGTGTAGGACCCATCTTGTTTAAGTAGGGGCCCAATACTGGACGTTCTCGATTTTGATTTGGCATAGGAGAAGAAATACTTTGGGTTTCTTTCGATTTCATTTATGGCTTTTAGTTCTTCCCGCGATTCCTGACTCCTAAAGGATTCTTTTAGCTTAAGTTCGATGCTTGCTATTTCTCTGACCAGTGTCTCCCTACGCATTTCAGATATATTGACCTCTTTTAGCCGCTCTGTTATTCTTTTCCGTCGCCTGTAAAGGGAGCGCCTGTCTCTTTCTGTTTTACATCTACTCCCCCTTTTTCTTAGAGGAATAAGCCTTGTGCATACATCGAGTGCTACCGAGTTAATCTGTTCTAGCCATAAGTTGGGGTCTGTGTTGCTTAGTATATCTTCCCAGCTTATATCGGTTAGAACTTGGTTTACTTGGTCCCACTTTATGTTTTTGTTATTGAAGTTGAATTTGGTGAATGCTCCCTCGTGACTAATCTCATTATGTCGGTCTGGGGCTCCGCGCATACATGACTGAACCTCAATTATGTTGTGATCTGAGTATATTGTTTTTGATATGGTGATATTTCTTATCAGATCATCATTGTTAGTGAAGATGAGGTCTAGTGTATTCTCCAGTCTAGTAGGCTCTATTATTTGCTGGTTTAAATTGAATTTTGTGCAGAGATTTAAAAGCTCGCGTGAGTGTGAGTTTTCATCAGCCGGGCTATGGTTCATACGTCAGTTAGCATGCAACCAGCAGCAACAGCCTGGTTGATCAGACCCTGATCCACCATGAGGCCTGGTCTCAGACTGGGCCGTGGGGGGCGTTGACCTTGACCCCCCCCCCCCCCCCCGAAAACACACTCCAGGTATACTTCAGGTATACCAGGTTGTAAATTAAGATAGCAACCACTCAAGGCGGTGCTACCCTCCAGTCTTAAGTGTGCAAAACACACACACTCACACTTTGTAGTAGCTTGGTAGACAGTGAACCACCTTGGAAGGTACAGTGTCACCCTCCTGTCATGCGAGTGTGAAACATGAAGTCATGTAGTAAGGTGGTAGACAACTACTCGGGGAGGTACTACAATTATGCCAGGCAGTAGCCTAGTACATAGTAGCCATCCAGGAACACACTAATCTGTCATGTGAGTGCAAAACAGAAGAAGCCTAATTAAATGTTTTACATGATTGCTAGTCTGTTTTTTCCCTCATGAATTAGTAAAATCTTAAGCTAGTCCTGATCAGTACCTACATTTGGTCTACACTTATCTTTACTCTCCACTGGGCTTTCAATAGTTCTTGTTCCAGTTGTAGAGATAATCATTCTATTTTGATGCAAGACCAGTTTGCAAAGGTAGTGACTAACAAAAGAAGGCACAATACCATGACTGGAGCAATAAACAAATAACCCACACATAGAAGAGGACCTTACGACGGCATTTCGGTCCAAGTTGGACCATTTACAAAGTCACACTAATGAAAAGGAGAGGGAGAAGGGTATAGTATCTAGGCAGGAGGTGGTGGTAGTAGTAGTAGTAGTAGTAGTAGTAGTAGAGGTAGAAGGTAATAGTAATAGTGAGGGAAGTAGTGAGGAGGAGCCAGCCAATATTAAGAAAGAGCAGCACTGCAAGGGATCTAGGTGCCCACAGAGGGTAAGAGCCAGAACAGAGGGGGGGGGGAAATAAATAAAGAAGGAACAAATACACGAGGCAGAAGAAAGACAACCCAAATAAGAAAAAGAAAAGGACGAGGGAAAAGAAGAAAAAGGAGGAATCGGGTTGTCACGGGTGTGTTCTGAAGTTTGGAGCATTTTACAATGTAGTGGGAAAGGAAGGCATCTACAGAGACGAAGCCAGGACCAAGATTCATGCAAGGAAAGTCGTGTATTAGAGGCGCGACTGTTGAAGTTGGAAGTAGGGAAGAGTTTTACTACCTCCCCCACTACTACTACTACTACTACCACTTCCTGCCTATACATACCCCTCGCTCTCTCCTTTTCATTAGTGTGACTTTGTAAATGGTCCAATTCAGACCAAAACGTCATCGTGAGCTCCTCTTTTCTATGTGCGGGTTATTTGTGTAAGGGTAGTGACCCCTGGAACCATTTGTTTGTGCTGCTGTATACAGTGGTTGCCCCATTAAGCAATTACAGTACAGACTTGGATAGTTTAAACCTTTCTACTTGGTGTTATACAGTGGACTCCCGGTTATTGGCCGTAATCCGTTCCAGAAGGTCGGCCGATGACTGAATTAATATTTCCCATAAGAATTAATGGAAATACAATTAATCCGTTCCAAACAAAAATATTCACAAAAAAAATAATTTTTTTAACAATTATGTAAGTACAGTGGACCCCCGGTTAACGATATTTTTTCATTCCAGAAGTATGTTCAGGTGCCAGTACTGACCAAATTTGTTCCATAAGGAATATTGTGAAGTAGATTAGTCCATTTCAGACCCCCAAACATACACGTAAACGCACTTACATAAATACACTTATATAATTGGTCGCATTGGGAGGTGATCGTTAAGCGGGGGTCCACTGGACTGTATTACATACCTTTATTGAAGGCTAATGGTGGTTTCTGGAAGATGAGGAGGAGGAAAAGAGGGAGGAGTTAGTGTTTGGAAGGGGAATCCCTTCCATAAAGACTTTAGGTAGCAAAGCCTTCTCTGGGCTTACTTCCCTTCTGTCTTTTATTGCCACTAGGACCAGCTTGAGTCACTGAACCCGTGTCTCTCAAAATAACTGTCCAGAGTGCTCTGTTTCTGGCATCTCTTTAAGATTATCCTGAAGTGGGAACATAGTTTTCAGCTGCACATTTGTCAGAACTTGCAGCCTCACCATACCTTACATCACTGTGTATGCTACTACGCATCTTAAATCCATCAAACCATCCTTTGCTGGCCCTAAATTCACAAACTTGAACACTTATTCCAGGCATTTTCTTTGCAAGATCCTTGTGCAACTGCTTTGCTTTCTCACAAATGATCAACTCCACAACACTGTCTCCCACTAATTCTTTTTCCTTAGTCCACAATAATAATAACTTTTCCATCTCTTCCATTATTGGTGGCCTTTGTTTAGTTAGACAAGTTACTCCTTTTGCAACATTAGCATCTTTGATTTGTTCTTTCTTTGCCAGGATGGATGTATTGTTGATTTATTCTTGCTGTACATCCTGGCAAGTTCCATCACCTTCATAACACTCTCAAATTATTCTATCACTTCATGTTTAAATTCCATGGTGTCTCTCACTTTCTTTACCACAGGAACTTTACTAGGAACTTTCTTTGGAGCCATCTTTACTTATTTCACGGTTGCACTGGAAGAAAAGCCACTAAAAACAATGGTAAATAAGCAAAATGTTTAGATGTATGAGCAGAAGCTTCCTCAGCCACCGATAGACAAAGCCAAACTGAAGTGCAAGCTACCCCAGCCAGTGGATGGATGCATCCAAAACGGCCGATAACAGAGCGAACGGCTGATAACCGGGCGCCGAAAAACCCGGCGATAACGGAGTTGGCAGATAACCAAACCGGCCGATAACCGGGGGTCCACTGTATTTACGTATATTTTATGGCCATAGTCAACTGAGATTAATATATAAACAAGAATCATAGCAGACTCCAAGGCCCATGAAGGTTAATTTATTTAAGCACAACTTGACTCTTTGAGTTAAAAATTTGTCCAGATGAAAATCTTTCTTTATACAAAAACAGTATGCTTAGTCATCTTATGAGATTACCATAGGCATGCTGTGTTTTTTGTATGTCAAACTTGTAAGTGGGCAGTCATTTGGATGAGGGTTTATGCCAAGCTATTAATATAAACAATTTTTTGTGCTTGTATGTTGATACTGAATTGTTAATAGAAAAGAAATTCATTTATAACCCCTTTGTCTCTGTCTCTGTTTGTCTCTGTCTCTGTTTGTCTCTGTCTCTGTTTGTCTCTGTCTCTGTTTGTCTCTGTCTCTGTTTGTCTCTGTCTCTGTTTGTCTCTGTCTCTGTTTGTCTCTGTCTCTGTTTGTCTCTGTCTCTGTTTGTCTCTGTCTCTGTTTGTCTCTGTCTCTGTTTGTCTCTGTCTCTGTTTGTCTCTGTCTCTGTTTGTCTCTGTCTCTGTTTGTCTCTGTCTCTGTTTGTCTCTGTCTCTGTTTGTCTCTGTCTCTGTTTGTCTCTGTCTCTGTTTGTCTCTGTCTCTGTTTGTCTCTGTCTCTGTTTGTCTCTGTCTCTGTTTGTCTCTGTCTCTGTTTGTCTCTGTCTCTGTTTGTCTCTGTCTCTGTTTGTCTCTGTCTCTGTTTGTCTCTGTCTCTGTTTGTCTCTGTCTCTGTTTGTCTCTGTCTCTGTTTGTCTCTGTCTCTGTTTGTCTCTGTCTTGTTTGTCTCTGTCTCTGTTTGTCTCTGTCTCTGTTTGTCTCTGTCTCTGTTTGTCTCTGTCTCTGTTTGTCTCTGTCTCTGTTTGTCTCTGTCTCTGTTTGTCTCTGTCTCTGTTTGTCTCTGTCTCTGTTTGTCTCTGTCTCTGTCTGTCTCTGTCTCTGTACTGTCTCTGTTTGTCTCTGTCTCTGTTTGTCTCTGTCTCTGTTTGTCTCTGTCTCTGTTTGTCTCTGTCTCTGTCTCTATCCATGAATACTATCAGACTACATTTTCTTTTGGAATGTTGTTTTATTTAATAAAAATTTATAAATTTCAGCCCAAATTAGCTGTTCATGGCATAGTTGGCTGCTCAGAAAAATGTTTGCAACATGGTTGACTTTGTCACCAACGAAATGCACATCATGGTTGGCTATTCAACTCACTGGATGAACATTGGTTGCATACAATCCAGGAAAGCAGTTTGTATCCTTCACAGTATTACACGACTTTAAATTTCACATACATTGCTTGCGGTTTTCTTTTCATGCTGAATAGAGAACTAATTTATTTAACTTACATTTTCAGAGAGGAAAAGCTAGACACTATGCTCTTGGCAAGTGGTTGCGCAATAGATACAGAGGGTTTGTCAATGAGAAGTGGATAGCACAGGAGGTTTATGTTCGCAGTACAGATGTAGACCGCACTCTCATGTCAGCTGCAGTCAACCTGGCTGCATTTTATAAGCTGAATGATCCAAAGGATTTTTTTGAGAAAGACTTGCCATGGTCACCAGCACCCATTCACACTGCCCCTTTATCAACTGATCATGTAAGAGCTTATTGTGATATTTTAATTGTAGCTCTTATTTGAAGTGGGTGGGGCCCCATTTGACTACTCATTATAGATTTCAAGTAATAAATGCCAACAAACTAAAAGTTAAAATGCCCATATATCTTTATCCATCAGCCAGGTGTTAATGGAACTTTTTCCTGGGCTCCACCCACAGGATACAGTACTTTGGTTTTTATTTGAAAAGTGCATTTGTATTCAGGGCCTCTTCTGTAGCAAGACTGTCTTTGAAGAAAAAAATAGACCAAAGGTTTAACAAAAAAAGGCACAATACCATGACTGGAACAATACACAAATAACCCACACATAGAAGAGGAGCTTATGATGACATTTCAGTCCAACTTGACCCATTTATAGTTGCTGTCTGGTTGAATCCTCCCTAATACACAACTTTCTTTGTATGAATCTTAGTCCTGGCTTTGTCTCTGTAGATGCCTCCTTTCCCACTACATTGTAAAATTCTCTAAACTTCAGAACACCCGTGACCTAACCTGATTCCTCCTTTTTCTTCTCCCCTTTCCTCTTTCTCCTCTGGGTTGTCTTTCTTCTGCCTTGTTTTTGTTCCTTCATTATTTATTTTTTATATTTTCCCCCCTCCCCACCCTCTGTGTTCTTGCTCTTACCCTCTGTGGGCACCTAGCTCCCTTGCAGTGCTCCCCTTTCTTAATATTTGACTGGCTCTTCCTTATTTCCTCACTACTTCCTTCCACCTCCACTGCTACTACCACTACTACTACTACTACCACTACCACTTCCTGCCTGTATATACCCTTCCTGTATATACCCTTCCTGCTCTACTTCTCATTAGTGTGACTTTGTAAATGGTCCAAGTCAGACCGAAACGCCATCGTAAGCTCCTCTCTTCTATGTGCGGGTTATTTGTGTAGACCAAAGGTTTGATGAACCTCTCATTAAAGAGGTTAAAATTTCCACATAATTTAGCTATCCTATTAATTTGTGCTTCCTTGTATATATTGTAATTAGTGTTATTTCTTTATTATATTTCACTAATTTATTATGTTTTTTAAGTGCTTTAGGATGTCAGTATTTTAATTCTTTGAGTGTAATGCTTTCTTCAGTCTCCCCTAATCCTGAGCCATTCCATATTAAATATTCTTTCATTATCAACCCTGTCTCTTTTTGCCCCATGGAGTATTGTGTACATCTTGTATAACTAGTCATCTCCAATGCTGTAAAATCTAGTTCATGCAGTTTGTGTAGTAATGTTGGTTACTTTTTTATAATATTTCTCTTACTATGCCATCAGTATTGCACAATTTAACAAATAAGCAAATTCTGCAGCTGTTGGATGTGGATGAAAGCTGTCCAAGAATCACTGAGGAACTTGATAAACAGAATGATCTGCCAGCAGTGAAAAAAGTGATTGATGCAAATAAAGATCTCTTCCATTATGTGAGTCAGATGTCTGGAGACAATATTTCCACTATTGTGTCTGCAGACTACCTCTATGACACACTATATATTGAGGTAAGGATTTTTATCTCATTGAGCAAAGGCTGTATGAAAAAACACTAAAGCAGAGTTTATGTATATTTTATAATTATGATTAAGTGTTGACCTGATAAGACTATATTAATTTTAACAGTATGTAATCTCGAATGCCAGCTCATTATTTGTGGATGATGAATTATCTTGCACAATCTCAAGTTCTTGCAAGACAAGAGAGATCAGAGCTGGAAAGTGCAGAGATCATTTTCTGTCTGCATAGAATCGGTAAAACATCTAGACTGCTTGGAGCACATCAAAGCACTTGGAATGTATTTTCTAGAACAGTGGTACTATACTTGATAATGCATATACGGTATGGACATTTGGAAAATCAGAGAAAAATGTTGAACATTAAGCAATAATAGCATTAATATTTTAATTTCTTTGACTATTAATTTTATGGTAGGGGGTGTTAAGTGAAAATTAATTAAAAATTAAGTCTTAAAATATGATGGTAATTTAAAAATGGACTGGACATTATATGAAAGTTAAATATACTTCTTGCACAGTTTAAGAAGTCTTTAGCAAGCTATATTGCCGAGTCTAAAAAAAATAAACCATACCACGGGTTCAAATCTCGCCCGTGGTATGGTTTGTTTGCAATTGTCATTACGATTTCGTGAGTCTGTAAAAAATAGTTTGATTATATGGAATTTATGAAGAAAGTAGGGTAAGTTGTGCTGAAGTTTTTGTATTTCAGCTATGAGTAAGGTAGCATTAGGGAAGATACACAGTAGGCTGTTAAGGTCTATAATGTATCAGTAGGCTGTACCAGGTAGTGTATTTTAAGACAATACATTGCTGAGCCATTTGTAAAAAGAGCATTAAGTTGAACTGTTAGGTACTTGCTCACACATTAAAAAAATGAGCCATTTTTATATAGGAAACAAGAAAATGCTTTTGTTTCACTATTATGTTGTTCACAAAAAAAAACAGTAAATCTGCCAAGGTCATGCAGTGCCTGGGGAATGCTAGTCAGTTGGGTTTGATTCAGGGAAAGGAAGGGTGGCTCTATATCCCTATATTAACAGCTCTTCACAAGCAACAATGTTTATGAAGAGCTCTTAACAAGCATCAGTGTTGCACCCCTTCAAGAGTTTCCTCTGGCTGCATTTTTAATATGCTGTACAATATTTCCATGTTTGCATAATATGGATCATATTTGTTGTATTTTAAGTCTCCTTATTCTTTTTTTATATATTTTCCTACCTAATATACAGTATTTTTCAGTCTCTCTACAACCTTACATTACCCAACTGGACTCATGGTGTTCTTCATCACTTGAAGTTAGTCTCTGACTTTAGTTTCCAGATTGTTGCCATGTCAAAAGAATTAAAACGTCTAAGAGCAAGTAAGTAATGTTATTTTTATTGTGCCTGTAATATATGTGTATATTAATTTTTTTTTTAACAAGTCGGCCGTCTCCCACCGAGGCAGGATGACCCAAAAAGAAAAAAAATCCCAAAAAAGAAAATACTTTCATCATTCAACACTTTCACCTCACTCTCACATAATCAGTTTTTACAGAGGTGCTCAGAACACAACAGTTTAGAAGCATATACATATAAAGATACACAACATATCTCTCCAAACTGCTTATATCCCAAAACCCCCTCCTTTAGAGTGCGGGCATTGTACTTCCCATTTCCAGAACTCGAGTCCGGCTATATAAAAATAACCGGTTTCCCTGAATCCCTTCACTAAATATTACCCTGCTCACACTCCAACAGATCGTCAGGTCCCAAATACCATTCGTCTCCATTCACTCCTATTGAACACGCCCGTGCACGCCTGCTGGAAGTCCAAGCCCCTCGCCCACAAAACCTCCCTTACCCCTTCCTTCCAACCTTTTCGAGGACGACCTAGGGAAACTGGTTATTTTTATATAGCCAGACTTTAGTACTGGAAACGGGGGTTTAGGATATTGGCAGTTTGGAGGAATGTTATAATCTCTATATATGCTTCTAAGCTGTTGTATCTGGGCACCTGTGCAAAGACAGTGATTATGTGAGAGTGAGGTGAAAGTATTGAATGATGATGAAAGTATTTTCTTTTTTTAGAGACTTTTTGGGTCACCCTGCCTTGGTGGGAGACAGCTAACTTGTTGGAAAAAAAAAATTATATGTATATTTTTTTTTTATAATAAAATATCTTTAAACGCACCGGCCATATCCCACCGAGGCAGGGTGGCCCAAAAAGAAAAACTAAAGTTTCTTCATTTACGTTTATTAATATATACAGAAGGGGTTACTAGCCCCTTGCTCCCGGCATTTTAGTCGCCTCTTACAGGTACGTCTTGATACTTCTACTTACACTTAGGTCAGACTACACATGTACATGTTTATTTATACACACTCATCTGAGTTTTCTTAGATTTTATCTTAATGGTTCTTGTTCTTATTGCTTTTCCTTTTATATCCATGGGGAAGTGGAATAAGAATCTTTCCTCCGTAAGCCAAGTGTGTTGTAAAAGTTAACTAAAATGCCGGGAACCATGGGCTAGTAACTCCTTTTTCCTGTAATGATTACTAAAAAGAATAAGAAGAAAATTGTCAAAGTTGGATGTCTGAATGTGCGTGGATGTTGTGCAAATGATAAGAGATGATTGTGGATGTTATGAATGAGAAGCTGGATGTCCTGGCTTTAAGTGGAACAAAGCTGAAGGGGGTGGGAGAATTTCAGTGGAGAGAAATAAATGGGATTAGGTCAGGGGTTTCAAATAGTTAGAGCTAAAGGAGTAGCAATGATGTTGAAGGATAAGCTATGGCAGGAAAAGAGGCAGTGTAAATGTATTAATTAAAGGATTATGTGGAGTAAAATAAAGGTTGGATGTGAAATGTGGGTTATAGTAAGCGTGTATGCACCTGGAGAAGAGAGAAGTGTAGAGAAGAGAGATTTTGGGAAATGTTGAGTGAATGCATGGGGAGTTTTGAACCAAGTGTGAGAGTACCTGTGGTTGGGGATTTCAATGATAAAGTGGGTGATTATCAAATGGCATACAATACCGACAGGTTGGTAGATAAGACACAGGCAACATTTAGGCAATTTTTATTCCGAAACATTCCGCCTACACAGTAGGCTTCTTCAGTCGAGTACAGAAAGTAGGTGGGAGCAGTAGAGATGTGAAGACTATGTAATTAGTCCAACACCCTTGAAGTCGTAGATTTGAGGTTATCAGTCCCTCAGCCTCTCCAGCGAGTTAAACAAGTTAAGAAAGCAGAATAGGGGAGTTAGTAGATGGGGAGATGGAGGTATTGGGTAGATGGCGGGAATATTTCGAGGAACTTTTAAATGTTGACGAAGAAAGAAAGGCGGTAATTTCATTCATTGGCCAGGGAGGTATATCATCTTTTAGGAGTGAAGAAGAGCAGGATGTGAGTGGGGAGGTGTGTGAGGCATTACATAGAATGAAAGGGGGTAAAGTAGCTGGAATTGACGGGATCATGACAAATGTTAAAAGCAGGAGGGGATAGTGTTAGTGGTTGGTGTTTTTGTTTAATAAATGTATGAAAGAGGGGAAGGTACCTAGGGATTGGCAGAGAGCATGTATTGTTCCTTTATATAAAGGGAAGGGGGACAAAAGAGATTGTAAAAATTAGAGGAATAAGTTTACTGAGTATACCAGGAAAAGTGTACGGTAGGGTTATTATTAAAAGAATTAGAGGCAAGACAGAATGTAGGATTGTGGATGAGCAAGGAGGTTTTAGAGTGGGTAGGGGATGTGTAGATAGTGTTTACATTGAAGCATGCATGTATATGTGAACAGTATTTAGATAAAGGTAGGGAAGTTTTCATTGCATTTATGTATTTAGAAAAGGCATATGATAGTGGATAGGGGAGCAATGTGGCAGATGTTACAAGTATATGGAATAGGTGGTAAGTTACTAAATGCTGTAAAGAGTTTTTATGAGGATAGTGAGGCTCAGGTTAGGGTGTGTAGAAGAGAGGGAGACTATTTCCCAGTAAAAGTAGGTCTTAGACAGGGATGTGTAATGTCACCATGGTTGTTTAATATATTTATAGATGGGGTTGTAAAAGAAGTAAATGCTAGGGTGTTCGGGAGAGGGGTGGGATAAAATTATGGGGAATCAAATACAAAATGGGAATTGACAGTTACTTTTTGCTGATGATACTGTGCTTGAGGGAGATTCTAAAGAAAAATTGCAAAGGTTAATGGACAATTTTGGGAGTGTGTAAAGGTAGAAAGTTGAAAGTGAATATAGAGAAGAGTAACGTGATGAGGGTATCAAATTATTTAGATAAAGAAAAATTGGATATCAAATTGGAGAGGAGGAGTATGGAAGAAGTGAATGTTTTCAGATATATTTGGGAGTTGACGTGTCAGCAGATGGCTGTATGAAGGATGTTAATCACAGAATTGATGAAGGAAAAAAGGCGAGTGGTGCGTTGAGGTATATGTGGAGACAAAAAAAAATTATCTGTGGAGGCAGAGAGGGGAATGTATGAAAGTATGGCGGTAGCAACACTCTTATATGGGGGTGAAGCTTGGGTTGTAAATGCTGCAGCAAGGAGACGGTTGGAGGCAGTGGAGATGTCCTGCCTAAGGGCAATGTGTGGTGTAAATGTTATGCAGAAAATTCGGAGTGTGGAAATAAGGAAAGGTGTGGAGTTAATAAAAGTATTAGTCAGAGGGCTGAAGAGGGGTTGAGGTGGTTCGTCATTTAGAGAGAATGGGTCAAAGTAGAATGACATGGAGAGCATATAAATCTGTAGGGGAAGGAAGGCAGGGTAGGGGTTGTCCTCGAAAAGGTTGGAGGGAGGGGGTAAAGGAAGTTTTGTGGGCGAGGGGGCTTGGACTTCCAGCAAGCATGCACGAGCGTGTTAGGAGTGAATGGAGACAAATGGTATTTGGGAATTGACGAGCTGTTGGAGTGTGAGCAGGGTAATATTTAGTGAAGTTGATTCAGGGAAACTTGTTGTTTTTATATAGCCGGATTTGAGTCCTGGAAATGGGAAGTACAATGCCTGCACTTTAAAGGAGGGGTTTGGGATATTGGCATTTTGGAGGGATATGTTGTCTATCTTTATACATATATGCTTCTAAACTGTTGTGTTCTGAGCACCTCTGCAAAAACAGTGATTGTGTGAGTGAGGTGAGTGTTGATTGATGATGAAAGTATTTTCTTTTTGGGGATTTTCTTTCTTGGTCACCCTGCTTCGGTGGGAGACTGCCAACTTGTTAAAAAAAAAAAAAAAAAAAAAAAAAATTACTGTATGTAATAATTGTAATACTACTATAATAAGTGAGCTTCAGAATGCAGCAAAACAACAAACGCCGCACTAGGTGGCACAGCGAATACCACAACAACGCTCGCCATCAGTGAAAAGTGTGGAGAAATAGTCGAAAATCAGTGAAAAGAAGTGAAAAATATAAATTGTAGCAGTTAAGTTCAGTGATAAAGTATAGCATTAAGAGTGTAGCAAGTAAGTTTAAGCTTTTAAGCGATAGAAAAAGGACGAAATGAAATGAACTCCTCCAATGTTGGTTTATAGGGCCAATGACATCATACACTGCTCTGCATGTCTTTTTTCCACTTTCAACCTCCGTCAGCATCTCTTCTACAAGGTAAATGCTGTACGTACAACATTTTATTACTTGACATTCTCTGTTTTTATACAATATTTATTTCAGTGTTTTCCTCATGAAACTAGTGCAGTTAGCCTCAGACACTGTTTTCTCTTATAATAACACCTCAGAAGGGGAAGCATGGGAAGATGTTTTCTGAGTGGGAGGGGAAATGGCAGCTACCACTTGTCACACTGACATATTTGTACTCTAGAATGAATGAAATATATCAGGTTTCTGTGTTAATTACTATGTTTGTCATATTAGATGAACTGTGAGAGATAAGAGCCGTGAAGTTAATAGTGTCATATTTGTGTTTTGTCCTTTCCAGAGCAGGAATTCCGCTGGAAAGGGTTAATGGCATTTTAACCCTTAAACGGTCCAAACGTATATATACGTTCACGCGCGTAGCGCCCCAAACGTATCGGTACTAGATACGGTACGGTACCTAGTACCGATACGTTTTCTTTGTCATTCATTCAACATTGCCACAATAAGCCTGAGTCACCTAGACATGAGAGAATGGGTGTGTGCACTCACTGTGTTCCATATTAAAATAATTGGGGATGCCTGGGTACCATATGCTCTTTTTTCCTTTTAAAAGAAAAGATTTCTTTTTTCCTCAAAAAACTTGGGGCGCTACGCGAGTGAACGTATATATACGTTTGGACCGTTTAAGGGTTAATTAATTTAAATGAGGAAAATTGACTCTGCATACGAGCAGATTGGGTTACGAGCATGGTCACTGAACGGATTAAACTTGTAAGCAGAGGCTCCACTGTATCTAGGTTTGATTCAAGGAAAAAGAATGTAGGTCCAGTTCCTTGAATCAAGAGCCCTTAACCTACATCAGGGCACCCCACCCCTCTCCCTCTTATTAAAGGAGCCCATAACTGTAAAAAATTTTTTTTTTTTTTAAGGTCCAATAATTAAAGAGATTGGTGAGCACATGCAACAAAAGGTACAAGGAAAGCTGCCTCAGCAGAAGATGTATGTGTACTCTGCCCACGACACCACCATAGCAATACTGCTGGTGGGACTTGGGGTGTTCAACAATGTAGCCCCTCCTTATGCAACAACTGTGATAATTGAGTTGCACAAGATTGGTAAAGAACGATTTGTTAAGGTAGGAAAAAAGTACTTTCTTTTATTGATTAACAAACCAGCTATATCCCACTGAGGCAGGGTGACCTAAAAAGAAAAATGGAAGTTTTGATAAACTTGAATATTAAAGTAATTATATAGATGAAGTCAGGAAAAGGTGCACTAAATTGGTGCAGTGAGGAAATTTGATAACCACTTCAATATGTAAGGATCACAAGTATAAATACCTTGCACTTTGCGTAATGCGCTAAAAAAAAAAAGTAAAATCAGTGATTTATACCAATTCATTCCCACCTACTATAGCCGCAGTGCCTGTGAAATAGAATGTAATCTTTTTTGAGCCAAGGAAGGAGAGGGTATCTCTTGGACCAAAAGCACTTAATCAAGGCATCATCTTGAAGGGTACAGTCATGATAGTGTTAGACATAATGGTCCATGATGGATAGAAATTTCTCCTAAAGTTTTCTCTTTAAGGATGTGGGCTGTTTGAGAATTTTCCAGTTAAGATATTGACTTAGTCTTTAGTATTAATAATTTTATTCAGTATGTTTTCTTTGATAAATCCTAAAGCATTAAGTTTTTTTATTGGAAACTTTAATTTATACTTTACTGCATATTGATGACTAGTTAACTGAGCATTACAAATTAACAGATGTTGCTGAGAAATGACACAAATATAATTGAGCCTCCACATGAGCTGGTTTTGCCTGGCTGCACTGCCTTGTGCCCCCTGGATGACTGGCTTGTTATCACTGGTACCATTATACCCAAGGACTGGGAAAGTGAATGCAAGAGTCTCAAGCATGGAGCCTCTTTCACCATGAGCCAAGCAATGCTAACAGGTTGGTCTCTCAAGTTGAGATCTATTTTTTTTTTTTTATACTTTTACATGTATAAAAAAGATTTCTAAATATTTGTGATCTGAAAGGTAGTGCAGTTTTTACAAGTGTTCATCCTTTCAAGGAAGAGATTTTTCAGAGAAAGGGCATTATTGGTACAAGTTATACACAAGATTAAAAAAAATATGCCTGCTATTTTACAATTCAGGCCTCGATGAGACCTGGTCGCAGACCAGGCTGAGGGGGGTGTTGACCCTCAAAACCCTTTCCAGGCATAAATATATGCATCGTGCATTTTCAGGTATAGGATGTATAACTGTTTTGCCCCAGCTGTATCCTCCTCCCTTGTCTGTCATGCCAAGTCACCTGCTTTTTCAGATATGATCCATGGTGTCTCCTGAGACAGAGGCACTTGAAAGCATTACTGTTTATATAGCATTTACTACCCCAGTGCCCTCTCACATCAGCATGTGGCAGCCTTGCCACACAAAGTACATGTTCCTATGTAGAAAGTTTCAACCCTTTAGCTCTCTATCCTGGTATACCTTTTCTGTCTGGTCTAAATGTATTCTATACCTTAAGTGGGGGGGGGGGGGAATCCAGTACATTGGGGATGCAGCCTGTCCCATATAGATGCATTGTTCCTACCAGCTCATTTACAAGTGGTTAGAACGTGTGGTTAAAAAGAAATTTGAACAAGTTTTGGAGACCCAGAATTCTCTCCATTTGGGCTGTTGGTGTGGCTGTTCCACTATGGATCCTTTACTTCATCTAGAAGAGTCTCAAGTTTGTTCGCTCCATTTATCCCCTAAGGAGCTCTTAAAATCACCGTGGATCCCCCCCCCTTTTTTTTTCCATAAATATAACTCAAAATTAATGATAAATTACCTGCTAGAATCTTGACATGATTGGCCAGTCTTAATAACAGTCTGAATTGGATTGAGAAGAGTATCTTATTGGGAAGGATGGCATTATTTCCTTTTTAAATTCTCAGGTTTTCTAGCAAATTATCTAAATTTTCATAACCACCTCTGGATCCCCTAAAACCTTGGCATGAATCTTTGAGAACCACTCACTGGTCTAGACATATGCATTCAAAAGGCTTTTACTGAACAGCACCTTACCATTTTTATTTAATTTAAAAAAATACTAGCCTGTCTTGTTCTGTGTCTAGCTACTTTCTCCACCTTAAGTCCTTGTGGTCTACATTTGCTCTTATATTTTACCATTCCCAAAATCACTGCTTTGTATATATGCTCACTCTTTGATCATTTCCAATCACACTGATGCTACTATTATGTGCACTAGTGGCTTTAAATTGTCGAAGAGTGGGGTGTGCCTCTTCTTTTAATGATTGCATTATGAGGTCAGCTGTCAGCTAGTCGGTATAAGGTCACTTTACGCCACTTAATCAATGTTCTCATCGATATATGGTTGCAAGGGTTGAATATTGGTTCCTGTACTGGCATGTTCATGTTACCCACTCTCCTCAAACAATTCTACCTTTAATATGGATTATCTCTGATTTTTAAGACATTTGATTTGCTACACCAGCTGTGCCCTGCACTTTCCTCCATATTTTACTGTTGTCTTTGCATCACCACCTTTCCTTTCTCCCATTCTCTTGCCATGTAGCACTGAATGTCTTGCACGGGTTTAGTCACTTCCATGATAAACCAAACCCAGCCCATATGTTAATGGCTATTAACATAGCAGTTTTATTTTTTTTAAGATAACTGTATCCACATTCTGTAGGTGGCATTTTCAAATATTAGTTATTACAGCACTCTTCATTATCGATTTGGGTGAATTGCCATTTATCTTGCTACTTGGTGCTTGCCATTGTTTGTGTTCTCCTGCATTCAAGCTGGGTTACCATATTTGAGTTTCATAATTCAAGTTCTTTACTTTTAGGTCAAATCTTGTTCACTCAATATTTTAATAAAGTGCATATCATTATGTATTAGAATTTCACTCTGGTTTATATTGGCTTTTGTCACATTGTTTATTTATTAAAGTTATTTATTTTTCATAAGGTATCCAGCCTACCTCACTCTTACAATATACTATATATCTAGTTTTCATAAATTTTTTCTAACATTTGCTTTTCAAGTCGTATACTACTGTCAAATTACTTGGCACAGTGCAGATCAGCATTTGCACACATACTAAGTCTACTAAACTAATTTGTAGCCGACTCAGTGGTTTGCTAAAGGGATAGCAGAGCAGCAGGTACTGTGTGTGTGTCACCTTTGAAAACTGCGTAATAGTTGCATATTGGAACATTTGTTTTAGTAACTTGTTTCCAGTGGCAGGATTGATATTTCCCAATAATTGATTCTTGAATAAGTAGACTTCACTATTCATGGTTAAGAGTATAAAGATTTTTTTCCTTTTACTGTCTTAAATTATCATATTTGTGTAGCGAGTGTGTATGTGATCATGTGTGTGCCTATGTGTATGTGTGCACTGTATTTCCTATCTCCAAAAAACTAGTCCGACTAACAGTTTCCCCAAATCCTTCACAAATGTTACCTTGCTTGCACTCCAACAGCTGGTAAAGTCCCAAGAACCATTTGCTCCCACGTGTTTCCATCTAACATGCTCACACATGCCTGCTGGATGTCCAAACCCCTCACACACAAAACCTTTACACCCTCCCTCTAACACATTCTAGGGTCCCCCCCCCCTGCCTTCCCTCCACTACAGATTTTTACACCCTCTGTCTTCCTATTTTGCTCCATCCTCTCTAAATGTCCAGACCACTTTTATCAACCCCTCCTCAGTGCACTGGCTAATACTGTTATTAATCCCGACATTACCTCTTAATCTCCAAGCTTCAAATTCTCTGCATAATATTCAGACCACACATTACCCTCTGGCATGACATCTCCACTTCCTCCAGTCTCCTCGCTGCAACATTCATGACTCGTGCTTCACACCCATATAAGAGTGTTGGTACCACTATACTCTCATGTTTGGCAGCAGTAAGCCAGTGGTTGCTGCTGTGGTCTACCATAGGGACAGCAGCTACCCCCACCTTTGTGTCCCCTTGGACACTACTCTTTGCCACTCCCCAGCTATAATGCTGGCACCACTGACCGAGTCATCTCATTTCAGATGATTTAGGCCAGGGGTGGGCAAATTGCAGCCCAGCGGGCCGCATGCAACCCTCCAAAGGTTCTTGTGCGGCCTGCCAAGATCAAGTAATATACTCGTGTATATGCAGCTGAATGAACAAAGCTGTTCATTTTCCTCTTTTGAAAACACAAGCTGTAACACTAGCATTATTAAAGTACAGTTCCCAATTGATGACTTTAGAAGTTTGCCCACCCTTGATTTAGGCAATGATACAAGAACTTAAATCTCCTCTCCCAAATATAATGACTTTTAAATAGTTTATTAATTTTAAATTGTGTTCTTGTAGATGAGAAATTTCAATATTCTCAAGTTCATTTTGTTATTTCTGCTCAGTCTAAGAAAGTCATTTACACGAGAAAAAATTTCTGGGAATTCAAAATATTCGTATATTAGTATGTGGTTATGGCATCAAATTAGGTTGAAAATAACAAATTACTGTCATAAAAGAATTTGAAATGTTCAGCAAAATAAAGTAGTATTCTTGAAAGGCAGCTAGAGAAGTAGTAGTTAGGTAAACCAAGGATACTTTCACTGTCTTGCTGGAAAATGTCTAGTAAAGAAGAAAATAACTTAGGATTAGTTGTTAGCTTCCTTCCTTCAGTCTGAAAAATAAAATGTTGACTTTCCTCTGTATATTCTCAGATGTTATTTATCTCTTGCCTAGGTGATGATAGGGGCCTGCGAAGTTCTGATCAATTATGATGCAATATTTAGAAACAAACTTAAGTTACTCTTTCCAGCTGAAAATATTGATAATGTCTTGATTTGGTAGGAAGTGGCATTGGGTAGAACCATGAGGAGGGTGAGCATCAGGTAAGTATAAGCACGTCTACATGTCGTTTCATTTAATTGCATCTTTAGCTACTAACAGTTGTTCCAGTTTGTGTATTACTAAGTACCTTAAGTAGGTCATTTGGTAACTCAGTGGCACTGGAGAAAACAGTATGTATTGATTAGGAATTTTATTTACGTAAAAATTTCTTTCAAAAAAGTCGATTCCTACATCACACCTGCCAGTCATTATATTCTCTGATATAAGGTACATCTTCTTTTTGTCAGGCTTTCATCCCATAACAGGAGACCTTGGTAATTTTTGTAGTGTCTTCAGCTGTATTATTTGTACCAGGGTAGCACATATGATTTATTTTGTTCGAGGCATGTTGCTTATATTGTCCAATTTGGTTTTCACCCACTTTTTTTGGCTGAAATTCTATTCCAGTTATCAGCCGTTATTTCGGAGATCAACCATATTGGACGCGTCCACCCGCTGCTCCACCGCGTTCATGAGTCAATCTGGCTGTCTGTGGGCGAGTGAGGAAGATTCCGCGCATTCATCCTAACATTTCGCTATAATCCATTGTTTTTATGGTTATTGAGTGCAACTGCAAAATAAGCCACCATGGGTCCAAAGAAAGTTCCTAGTGCCAGGCGTTTGGTAAAGAAAGTGAGAAACACGATAGAATTCAAGAGAACTCTTAGCAAAGTACGAAAGTGAAGATGGAAGAGAGGGGAGAATGTGCCTTCTTCAGTGATTCTGTGATGTGTACGTACGATACTAAAGCAGCAGCAGTCGATAAAGGCTGTAGCGCAAGCCAGCGATAAAGTGTAGCATTAACAGTGTAGCAAGTAAGTTAAGCGATAGAAAAAGGACGACACAAAACTGACTCCTCCAATGTTGTTGGAGGTATATAGGGCCACTGACAGTATACCCTGCTGCATATCTTCCACCACTCTAAACCAATGTCAGCATCTCCTCCAAGGTAAGTGTAAATATTTCTTAACTGTAAATTACATGCATTGTTTGTGTGAATAGTGGCTGCTGCTGCCACTGCCGCCGCCGCCACCACCACCACCACCACCAC